TCAAGGCTGCAGAGAGCCATGATTGCACCACCGCACTCCAGCCTGAGAGAGAGTGAGACCCTGTCCTAAAAAACAAACAAACAAAAAAAAAAAAACAGAAAATCACAAGTGGTGATAAGGATATGGATAAATTGGAATCTTTGAGAATGCACTGTGTGTGGAAATGTAAAATGGCACAGCTCCTGTAAAAGTGTGGCAGCCACTATGGAAAACACTATGGCAGTTCCTTAAAAAATTAAAGATTGAATTAAAATATGATCTAGTAATTCCATTTCTGAGTATATATCCAAAAGAACATAAAGTAGGATCCCTAAAAGGTATTTCTGGCTGGACATGATGGCTTACACCAGTAATCCTCATACTTTGGGAGGCTGAGGCAGGAGGACTGCTTGAGGCCAGGAGTTCAAGACCAACCTAGCCAATACAGAGAGACTTGATTTCTAAAAAGAAAAATAAAAAAGAATTTCTATGCCCATGTTCATAGCAAAATGTAGAATACACAAACAATGGAATATTATTCAGCTTTAAAAAGGAAGGAAAATCAGACACATGCTACATGAATAAATCCTGAGAACATTATACCAAGTGAAAGCTAGTCAGAAGAACATGAATACCATGATTCCATTTGTGTGAAATACCTCAAGTAGTCAAATTCATAAGAGATACAAAGTAGAATGGTGGGTGCCAGGAGCTGGAGAGAGGGGGACAGTGAGGGGTTGGTGTTCAATGGATAAAAGAGTTTCCATTTAGCAAGACTGAAAAAGTTCTGGAGACCGGGTGCATCCTAACAACAAAAATTGTTAAGATGGTAAGTTTTAAGTTATGTGTATTTTACTACAACTTAAAAACAATTTTTAATGCCAAGAGCAAGCAAGTACCTTAAAAAGGTGATGGTAAGTTCACCTGATGAACTGTGTGTATATGTATTATCTATATATACACATATATATGTTTAACATATGTAAATATGTGTATACACAATTCAGTAAGTGAACCTGTCATCATCTTATCAAGGAACTTAATTTGCTCCTGGCAGTCATATGAATAATGTAATGAGAATATAGTTCTCTTTATTCTTCTCATCCAAAAGCCTATAAAGTATAAGGCATAGCTCTTTAAAAATATTAATCAATAACAGCCCTAGAAAACAAGAAAAGAGTGCCTAGCAAGGAAATTCTTTACTGAGAGAAAGCAGACAAGACCAGGGTTCATATTTTCTAAGATCCATGTATTAATAAGAATTGTTGGGCACACAATCCTGGGGTAACTCCCAATCAGAATCAAGGATACAAGGTGTGGGAGAAAGCCAGGGTCAATCATAAGGAGGATTACTAAGGGATCTGCAAATGGAGCAAATGCCTTGGCCAGGCATGCCCCATTCTCTGTGCTGAGCTGAGATAGCAATGGCATCAGCCCCAGATTGAGGTGAGGAGCATGGGTACTGAGCTCTAGGGAGCCACCTGATCTCAAAAGGTATTGAAATTTCCACAAGCAGGAGATCCTAATTCCTAGAGTTACTGAAGGCCTGTTATAGTAAACAGGCAGATAACCAGGGAGTCTCAAACAGAAGAAGAGCTAAACTAAGATTCACCAAACATATAAGGAAAACCAATCAAAACAAAAAAAGGTTGCCAAAATAAGAAAATAAGACCACTTTAAAAGCAAGATTATTTATTTCCTGAAGAACTAAGATGACACTGAAAAAAAAAAAATCAGAAATAGTTTAAAATAGCTTTTGAAATTAAAATAGACAGGAAAAGAAAAAGAACAAAAAATAATCCCCAAACTGACTACTAATAAAGGAATACAAGTTAAAATAACATGGCACCATTTTTTTGTTTCACTGGATTGATAAATAATTAAAAGGGTTGAAAGAATTGCAAAGACAGGAACTCTTCCAAGGTAAGATGGTGGCATAAATTTTAAGTATTTTAGGGTATGTAATTTGACAGAATCTACATTAAACATGCACATATATTTTGATCTAATAGTTTCATGTCTAGGAATCTATCTTACAAAATACACATGTATATAAAGAAGCATGTACAAAATAGATATTGCAGAACTGTTTTAATGGAGAATAACTGAAAATAAGCAAAATATTCATCAAGATGATTTTGTACATTTATTAACTACAAGATACTGATAATTAATGCTATAGAATGCTAGAAAGGTATTTTTAAAAGTGAAATAGACCTATTCATACTCACATGACAATATACACAGTGTATTAAATAAAAACAAGAACATATACATATGTAGTAGAATATATATAAAAGTGGAAGCAATCTCAGATATACATATGTATCAATTGTTTTTAAAGGGAGAGATATTTACAAATAAAGTTAGGATTGATAGCTACAAATTAAACTGTTTACCAGTTAGCCTATGGAGAGGAGGGTAGGTGGGAGTCACAGAATGAAACTTTCATTTTTAGTTTAAATTTTTTTGTGTTTGAGATGGAGTCTTGCTCTGCAACCCAGGCTGGAGTGCAGTGGCACGATCCTGGCTCATTGCAACCTCCGCCTCCCAGGTTCAAGTGATTCTCCTGGCTCAGCCTCCTGAGTAGCTGGGATTACAGGCGTGTGCCACCACACCCGGCTAATTTTTTTATTTTTGGTAGAGATGAGGTTTCACCATGTTGGTCAGGCTGGTTTCAAACTCCTGACCTCATGATCCACCCAACTCAGCCTCCCAAAGTGCTGGGATTACTTTGGTTTGAGCCACCATGCCTGGCCAATTTTTTTTCTTTTAAAGAGACAGGGTCTCACTCTGTCACAGCAGCCTCAACTTCCCAGGCTTAAGCCATCCTCCCGCCTCAACCTCCCAAGTAGCTGGGACTATAGGAACATGCCACCACACCCAACTAGTTCTTTTTTTTTGTAGAGATGGGGTCTCACTATGTGGCCCAGGCTGGTCTCAAACTTCTGAGTTCAAGCAATCCTCCTAGCTTGGCCTCTCAAAGTGCTGGGATTATAAGGGTGAGCCATCACACCCATCCTCACAATTTATTAATTGTACTTTATGCCTAATAAAAAACAAATTTTAAAAGTATATCAGACCTGGGCAAGATTACTGTATGCTCAGTGTGCAGGGAACTCTCTGATTTAGGTCAGGTACAAGTTTATAGTAGAAACAGTAAAAATTCATTCATTTATTTGGGGTTCATGGAACAATATTGTCTTATAAAGGGTAATGAGACAGAGGCACTTGAACCACCTGCCTGTATAACTGTATCTCCTAAGCTTAAGCTGTAATTATGTTTCAGTAATTGGCTAATAAGCTGATAAATGAACACCTGTAAGAAATTTGTTTTGTATCATTAAAGGTAACTGCTCTTGCAGTTCTCTCTTTTTAAAGTTTTCCTCTTGTGTTTTAAATTTATACACACACACATTTTTTTTTAAATTAAGAGTTTAAAAAGTCTCTGAGATTGCTTCCACTTTTATTTTACATTTTACTTTTTTAATGAACTCTCACTTCTTAGAGATTCTAGGGCATTCTCAAGTCTACAAGCTCAGCAAGAAAAAGCAGTCAAAAACAATGATCCTATCACACCAGCCTCATCAATTGACCATGCAAATTTTTATCAGGCCGTACATATATTTTAAGCTATTAAAATTTGCACAAGGTTACAAATTATTATCTGAAACTGTCTCCAGAAATCTGAATAACATAAAACTCTGGGAAAAAAAGACAGAAGGAGGAAGAATTTGGCTACTATGGTCCCAAACTGGCCCAAAAGCCTTTCTTAAACTTTAAAGACCAGGAGCCTGGCACTACTGCTCCTCTTTCCTGAGGTCAAGCATTCAAATTCAAACGGCAAAATTTAAACCAAAAAACACTAGTAAGAAAGCAGTACCAGATGACTCACACTGAGAAACTAGGCAAAGATTTTGAGAGCTTTAATGGCAAAGGAGCAGAAAACCTAGGCCAGAAAGTTCACCAATTGGCCAAAATTTAATAGTGCTTTGATTCTGTGAGAATGGGAAAAATATACATATTGTCTCCAGTTTGCCTCCTAGTCTCTATAACACAGCCATGCTACAGGTAGAATGGCTTTATAAATAGACTTAAAAGTTGGAAACTGATGATAAGAGAATATCAGATTAGAGCTCAACAAAGTCAAACTAGAAAGAGCCAAAAAATTAAATTTTAAAAAGCACAGATGGTATATATATTTATATATATGGAGAGAGAGAGAGAGAGAGAAAGAAAGAGAGATACAGCAACCTAAGTCAACAAAGTAATCTATTTGTAGTATCTGAATAGAAACAAATGGGAATAGTGTATGTGGCAGAGACTACTATTTGACCCTCAATATCTATTCTCCACTTCTTCCTTGAGTACTATAATCTCTTATTCTTAGCCAAGCACATGACTGATAGCCTCGCTAAAGACTGCACCTCTCAGATGCACGTGTACATCTGAGGTACGGACAGTAAGATCTGGCCAATGACATGTGAGCAGAAATGATACATACTAATGGTATCCTAAAGAAGAATGGGATGTGACCACTACTATTCCTTTTCCTGTTCCTGCTGGCTGGAATATAGTAAAGTAGGAAGCTGAAGCAGTAATATTAAACTATGAAATAGAAAATACATATTAAATATGGCAGAGCACAAAGACAGAAGAAATTTGGGTCCCTTGCATGATGATGCATGTGCTTATTACTAAATCTCTTTGTTACATGAGAGAAATACAGCCTCCTCATTCAACTAAGTAATATTCCCTATGACAGCATTGTTAATCTATGAAGTTCCATAGCATCCCTTATAGATTACCTGCTAAACCTATATTTCTCTCAGAAAAGGGCTTGCCCACTGAATGTAGATCATCCACAAATTGTGCTGCCATTTAACAAAACACTAATATGCACATACTTACCCACACTCACAAACTGTTCTTGCATATGAGTTATGGTCTTCTATGAGTTCATTACCTAATAATTTGCACAACTCCATAAAAAAGGGCCATTTAAAACTCTTGATACTTACTGACACATTAGCACTATCACTGCTTGCAATCTCAGCTGCCTTTTCAATAATCTGTTTAAAAAAATTGAAAAACATAAATTTTGGCTCTCATATTTGTAGAATTTTAAATGTAAATGACTAACTTGTACTTAGACTACATAAGATCTAGCATTGCTATATTTTATAACAGAAACATGAATTTTAAAAGCAAAATCATGCTTCCCCACTGCTTTAAACTCTTGACAACAGGGAAACGATGGTACTGCTATAAGGGATTATGACTCCTAGGAAGCACTAAAATTGTCTGTAGATAAAATAAGTAGCAACTAGCATATATATGTCAAAATTTTTTTGAAATATAAGTAAATGTATTCTAGCAAAGGAAATGCAAAAACATGTAAGAGTTACTAAATTGTAGAATAAATTTTGTCATTTTTATTTTCTTCAATTAAGATACCAAAAATAGAAGTAATGACAAGGGAAAAGTCTAAAAATATGTTAAAATTCATTAAGTTCAAAGATGGGGGGAGCTCATTTTGCTAAGATAGAAACCCACTTACCCAGGAGGAAGATAAATAAGTAAATAATTAGATCAGCTGGGTGTGGTAGCCCCCATCTTTAATCCCAGCACTGTGGGAGACCAAGGGAAGGAAGATCCCCTAAGCCCATGAATTCAAGACCAGCCTGGCAACATGGTGAGGCCTCAACTCTATAAAAAAAAATAAGTAAACTAAAATAGAATAAATAAAAATAAAAAGATTTTAATGTTATAATTCCCATCCTATTACACAGGGTTGTCAGAATAACGTAAGATTATGGTTACTTAAATTAACCAATAATTATAAAGTTAACCTGAAAAGCAAAACGTAACACAAATTATTACAACAAGCATTATATTAAATAAAAAGAACAGGACTTAGGGAAGCTTTCACTTTTTACATCTGTATTATTTATTATTTATGTTATAATAACCATATCTAACTTGTACGATTAAAGGAAATCAATAAGAATATACATATTTACACATTTTTTGTTTGTTTTTGAGATGGGGTCTGACTATGTCACCCAAGCTGGCCTTGAACTCCTGGGCGGAGGCAATTCTTCCACCTCAGCCTCCTTACGTAGATGAGACTAAAGGCTACTATCCTTGGCTTATATATATTTAAAGACTAAAATCTCTATCCCAAATTGATATTCTTCGAGAAAAACTCTCCAAGGGATTAGAAAGACAAAAGAAAAGTTTAAGGACCATTTGCAGATGACTGAAGCAATGGTGAAATAAAACTTCTCTTGAAATATTCTATTTCAAGATACTCTATTTGCAAATACAGAAGTCTGTATTTGTAAAAGTGCTTCAAAAGCATCTCATTTGGGCCAAAAGAGTCTATAACTGTTGAACACACATCTAGCTGAACATAATAGTCATAGCTAGGACTATTAAATATATCATGAGCAGCTATGCCTTATGGATACATTTCTTTTTTCTTTTTTTTTGAGACGGAGTTTTGCTCTTGTTACCCAGGCTGGAGTGCAATGGCGCGATCTCGGCTCACCGCAACCTCCACCTCCTGGGTTCAGGCAATTCTCCTGCCTCAGCCTCCTGAGTAGTTGGGATAACAGGGACGTGCCACCATGCCCAGCTAATTTTCTGTATTTATAGTAGAGACGGGGTTTCACCATGTTGACCAGGATGGTCTCGATCTCTTGACCTTATGATCCACCCGCTTCGGCCTCCCAGAGTGCTGGGATTACAGGCGTGAGCCACCGCGCCTGGCCTTATGGATACATTTCTATCAAAGGAATAACCAAAGCCACTACATAAATATATTGAATGAGTCAAAATGTAGCTTTTTCTACTCAGTGTATACTAAGGTATATGGTTCTTGCCGTATCGAAATTTCTATTATAATAAGCACAAAATTTAATTTGGTTTTAAATTATTGTTTAGAAAAACATGTTTAAAAAACTTGAAATAAAAAATTACTCCTTAGATGGATAAAATTCAATTAAAATGAAAATGAAGAAACAGTGAGTTACATAAATTTAATTTGCATAATACTTTAAATGTATAGGTAGTTTAATTTAAGTATTTATAAAGAATATCAATCTTTAAAGGTAGTTTGTTCTGAAATGGATTTAGGAAATTAAATAAACTTCCAGTCTATTTTCTGAACATTTTTTTCCCCCTAGAGACAGGGTCTCTCTCTGTTGCCCAGGCTGTTGCACAGTGGCATGACCATAGGTCACTGCAGTCTCAAATTCCTGGGCTCAAGTGGTCCTCCTGTCTAAGCCTCCAGAGCAGCTAGGACTATAGGCACAAGCCAACACACCCAGCTAATTTTTAAATTTTTGTACAGACAGGGGCCTCTCTAAGTTGTCCAGGCTATCTTGAACTCCTAGTCTCAAGTGATCCTCCTGGCTCAGACTCCCAAGTTGATAGGACCACAGGCCTGAGCCACGGTGCCTGGCTCCTATTTTCTGAGAATTTGTTAAAAGATGTTCTCATAAAAATCAACACTACCAGGTGCAGTGGCTCTCACTTGTAATCCCAGCACTCGGGAGGCTGAGGCAGGACAATTGCTTTAAGCCAGGAATTTGAAACTCAATAATTGTGCCACTGCACTCCAGCCTGGATGACAGAGACACCTCATTTTTTACAACAAAAACCACCATGCCAAACCTGAAGATAAAATATATGACAGATTGGCTCTCTTAGCATGTAAATTATCATAGCCCTATATTTAGCCCCCATTAGATAATCTCATCCCCAAAACATGCAGTATGTAAATTAAAGAAATACATTTAGAAATGAAGTCCTTACTATAGATTCTAAAAAATAACTACATTAAGGAAGTCCCACCAACAGAAATCTTCAACAAAAATCAATTGTTCTTTGAATATCAGTTCTAACATAGCAGTGAGTATACCTTTAATATCTGAAACAACATGCAGGGCATATTTCATTGAACACTTTATATATTCAGAGTTACACATGAATATATTTATAGTCCTTTTAGGGGGTCTGAGATATTCAAAAATATCTCAGACTGATTAGGACTTCTTCATTTTACAAATAGGAAACCTGAATTCCAGAGTTGCCTTTTCTTTCTTAGTCAGTGATAAAGCCAAAACTAACAGTTAAGAGGGCTCCCTGCTCCATGGTCTTCCCACTCAACAAAGCTGGCATTGTATGGGAAGTTCTGAAAGAGACTGATAGAGCTTAATCTATACACAGATAGAGCCAGCAAGTAATCATTCAATTATTTCATGCATAGTGGCCCTTTAAATAATTAGCTTACCTTATCGAAGGGAGGGTAATAATAAGGTTGTTTTTTATTCTCTGGAAATTTAATATGCAAAGCTGTTGCATTTTCAGTATATGGATTTGTCTGAACAGTTCCCATTGGATTCAACATTTCTTCAAGTTCATCTAAAACATGCAAATAATTTTGATTCTTAAAAAAATGTCTTTAAAACTAAGCTTTAAAAAAAAGCTGCAGTGGATCTCCTCTCATGAAAATTACCTTAGAAGTGTGTCAACTATGGAAGTGTGACAGACAATTATATCAGTAAGCCTCTAATTTTCTGTTAATGCTTGGAACAAAATTTCAGTATGAGTCTGCATATATCTTTAAAAATTGAGAAAGTTAACAAAACTGAATGGCTACTTTACCTCGTAATTCAAATTTAGTTCTCAATCTTGAAAAGACTTTAATTGGAACTGCTTTCACTCCATTAAAACTATGTGGTCCACAGAAACTATAATCTCATCACTACATATGGACTTCTTACATGTAATCCTGGTTTTCATGGTTGTCACAATAACCAAATTCATATTTTAAGTCAGTGACATTCTTCTTATCAAATCTACTGATAATGCTCTTTATTATCCTGTAACTGCTGACACAAATACCTTTTCTGGTGGTCTCTGGAATACTCCATTAAGTGGCACTCCTTTTACCTCACCAATTGTTTCTTTTTTCAAGGTACTCCTTCCTTTTCCTTTTCCACCACCCTAAATATTCACAGAATTGTGTGTGGGATTTTAGAATTTCAGTATAGTTAGAAAACTCTGGAGTTCACATTATATAAATTTTTATTTCACAGATAAGAAACTCATGACGAAAAAGCAGGAGAACAATCTAAGATCTCCCCTCTCTAAAGTAATTTTTCTTTTCTCATACTTAGTACAGTTGTTCTCTCTGTATATCCTAAGGGGGAAAAAAAAAAGATCAGATATATTCTGTTTTGGTCTAATGTCCATAAAGTATGCACATTCATAATTGTCTCCTAAAGCTGGAAAATCTTTACAAGTTTTAGTTCCTTAATTCTTTGCTCATCTTTTTAAATATTTTCTCATCTCACAGACTCAATTTTCTTTTTCTTTTTTTTGAGACAGGGTTTCTGTCATGCAGGTTGGAGTGCAGTGGCATGATCTCGGCTCACTGCAACCTCCACCACCCAGGCTCAAGTGATCCTTCCACCTCAGCCTCCTGAGTAGCTGGGACCACAGGCACATGCCACCATGCCTGGCCAATTTTTCAACTTGTGGTAGAGACAGGGTTTTGCCATGTTGCCCAGGCTGATCTTGAACTCCTGAGCTCAAGAGATCCACCCAACTCAGACTCCCAAATTGCTGTAATTATAGGCTTGAGCAATCACACACAGCCCAGACTCAATTTTCACCTGGATGAAGGCAAGTCTTTCTTTTATCTTATTGTTTTTTAGAGACAGGGTCTTACTATATTGCCCAGGTTAGATGCAAACTCCTGGCTGATCCTCTTGACTCAGGCTCCTGAATAACTGGGACTACAAGTACACACACCACTGCACCTGGCTCAATTCTTATAATTTATATACCTCTAGAAATGATTTCTCAGCAATTAACAGTCTCATACTTCTGCTCTCTAGTACTATTATTCTTTTGTCCCAGCAAATGCAACCTAACTGAAGTCAAATGTAGTATTTTAGCACTTATTAACCCCAAATATAGAGGTAATCCTTTAACCTTGTTCAAAAGAGATCAGAAAAAAAGGCATTCTTTTTCTGTGTGTACAGGGAGACAGAGTCTCACTGTGTTGTCCAGGCTGATCTCAATCTCCTGGCCTCAAGTGATCCTCCTGCCTCAGTCTCCCAAAGCAATGGGATTACACATGTGTGCCACCATATCTGGCCCAAAAGGCATTCATATATACTACGCATGGAGAGTAAAAATTGATATACTCTGTTGGGGAACAATTTGTAATTATAAGAATTACAAATTTATCTATTCTTTGACTCAATAAACCCATCTCTAAGGAATTTATCTCAGATATACACCTGTACATAGCAAGGTTATTCATTATAGTAGCACTGTTTGAATTATCAGAACACAACTCTGCTTTAAAAAAAAAATTTCTCTAACAGTCCAGGCATGGAAGGAAAAAACAGTTCTCTATGCAGATAGCTATGGTGAATAAAGCAAGGAGCAGAATATTATGCAGAATGTGCTGTAAGTACAGGGAGAAAGACAAGTTTGTATTTCCTAATGCATATATAAAGAATTCTGGGAAGTTAGAAAAAAAATAAATAAATGTGATTATATACCTTGTAATGATGACCTAGGGACTCTAGATGATAGATTATTTGTAGTTCCTTTGCTTCTTGTTTGCCCCTACTGGGTTAAATGTGACAGTTCTAGAGCTGACACATGCAGAAATAATTGTGTTGATTTACTATTTTTCATCATACACTTTCTTAGAGATGAAGTTAGATTCATAGTATTATGCCAAGTTAATACCAGCAAAAATTGTAATTTTTACTAAAAGTACTAGTCAAGTTGGTTGGTAATTCTTGAGAACATGTGTGAGTCCAAACTAAGATTTTACAGAAAGTATAGTATTTTGCTGCTGTATTTTCTTGCACTGTGAATGTTTAGTTTCTCATAAGAAATATGTAAAATAGGCTGAAAGCAGTGGCTCATGCCTATAATCCTAGCACCTTGTGGGGCCATGGAGGTGAAAACCACTTGAGCTCAGGCATTCGCGACAACCCTGGGCAACATGACGAAACTCCATCTCTACAAAAAAATACAAAAAAAAAAAAAAAAAAAAAAAAAATTAGCCGGTTGTGGTGGCATGTGCCTGTAGGCACAGCTACTTGGGGGCTGAGGCGGGAGGCTCACTTGAGCCCAGGAGGTCGAGGCTACAGTGAGCTGTGTTCAAGTCACTACACTCCGGCATGGGTGACAGAGTGAGACCCTGAGTCAAACAAACAAACAAAAAGAAATACATCAAATATACACAGCTCTCCTACATTTGGGGAATAACATAATTAGTGAAAATTATTAGAAGTACATGCTGGAGAGAATAGAAGAATATGGGGACACACATACATACACACACACACACACACACACACACACACAATTAGATTGCAAAGAGTTTATAAATATGTCAGTAAATGATTATCTAAAAATAATTTCTCAGGTGAAAACTGCTAATACATGAACATTTTCAAATGTTACTTACAAAGCCATTAATTAAAAAATTCGAATTCAAATTCAAATTAGTTCACAACTTTACTAGATACATTAACAAACTATAAAGACAGGAACAAAGAAAAAGAAAATCACTATTACAATGCAAGATTTACGCTAAAACTTCCAACAGGAAAGCAGTATAGACCAATGGAAAGATCTGAATAGTCTTTCATTCAAATCTTATGTTTGAACCAACTATGTAAGACTAACTTATTTTCTCTGAGCTTCACTTTTCTTATCTGTAAAAACAGAAATAAAACCATCTACTTCATTTGATGAAGGCATTTTGAGTAGTATTTGAGAACTAAAGGCGTGTGGAAGGTGCTCCACTTACCTCAAATTTCAGGCTAAAGCACTAAAGGAAAAGTGTTTTTATTATTTCTCCCACTTTACAGAATGTTCCTTCTACTACTAAAGAAAGCACAATTAGGAGCAATGAAGGTTATTATAAAGAAGACACTATTCCTTAGGATAATTTCTTGGAAAAAAAAAAAAAAGCTGAAAGCCACACACATTCATTAAAATAAGAAATCTATTCAGAAATAATCCCCCACTGTGTGCCTGGCAGCACAACTCAAGGAGTCAGAAGTTTAGACTATTTCATTCCTAAATATGGAGATGCATAAGACTTAAAGACAAAGCTACCCATCACAAAACTTAAAAGTTATGTCCCATGGCCATACTAGACAATCTGTAATGAGCTAAATGAATAATTTGTTAATATTAACTTGTTATTAGCAAAATAGTGGTACGTTATTTGTTGGAAGTATGTTTAAAGTACTAACTTGTTAAAATAACCTTTTAAAATACAGGCCACAGTGGCTCATGCCTGTAATCCTAGCACTTTGGGAGGATCGCTTGAGGCCAGAAGTTCTGAGACTAGCCTTGGCAATATAGTAAGACCTTGTCTCTACAAAATAAAAGTAAATAATAAAATAAAACATAGGCCAATTTTTAACCAAAAAAATGTTGTAATCTACTCAGAAACAAATCATTTTATGATATTAAAATAATTTGTGTAAATCTGTTTTAAAATAAATAACAATACAAAATAATAGTCTTATTTACTATTAATTGAGAGAATGGTGATTCATAAAGAAATACTAACTAGTCCACATGCCAAAAGTTAGTTACTGTTTAACACTAAGGATAAGAATGTAAATCTTACCTGGAAATGAAGACCAGCTGTGTAATATTATGTCTCCAGTTCTCAATTGTCCTTTAAAGTCAAAAACCATCGTATTTACCCACGCTACAGGATAATGCTGTTGAAAAAGATACCACTGCATAAATATGCTACTAATGAACTTTAAGGTGTAAACATGCACATGCCCTTTGTTTTAATAATGTTAGTTCTAGAATGTTCTAGATGATTTCCAAAATAATCTTCTAAAATGAGAACAAGATATACATAGAAAAATGTTCAATATTTTTATTATGTTTAAGAAGGACCTTAAAACCCAATTAATGTTTCATAATAAAATAGTATATGAATAAAATGGAACATGTACTATACAGCTTTGTGAAAATTAGTTTCTTTTTTTTTTTTTTTTTTTTTTGACAGTCTCACTCTGTCACCTGGGCTGAGTGTGGTGACCTGATCTTGGTTCACTGCATCCTCCGCCTCCCAGGTTCAAGAGATTCTCTTGCTTCAGCCTCCCGAGTGGCTAGAATGACAGGCACCTGCCACCACACCTGGCTAATTTTTGTATTTTAACTAGAGACAGGGTTTTGCCATGTTGGCCAGGTTGGTCTCAAACTCCTGACTTCAGGTGATCCACCCACCTCAGCCTACCAAAGTGCTGGAATTACAGGTTATGTATGAGCCATCATGCCCAGCCAAAATGAGGAATTTTTAATAATCCAAGAAAATATGTATAATATCAGGATATATGTTTTAAGAGCTTTCAGCCTACATAAATCTCAGTGTGGAAGGAGATAATGTCTCTAGGTATATAATATATGTATTATACATATTTATATTATATATTTTTTATATATATACCTAGAGATAATGTCTCTAGGTATATACACCTACAGAAAATGTCTCTAGGTATATATACCTACAGATAATGTTTCTAGGCATATATATTTATTATAATAAATATATATACCTAGAGACATATATCTCTGAAAAGGAGCCATTGAGCTGATAGGACTTTTTTTTTAAACTGCAATATAACAACTACATACATAGCAGCTGATAGGTCTTTTATACAAACATTTAAATAGATTAATTTTACCATAGTGTATCAAAAGCCTTATAAATAATCAAACACTTTGAGGATAATTCTATATCAGGGATGGAAAAAATACTAAGGAACTAACTGTTCTATGACTTTTTAGTCATTAAAAGTTAATTTTAGGGTTTTTTTTTTTTTTGGAGACAGAATCTCACTATGTTACCAAGATTGGTCTCAAACTCTTGTCCTCAAGCCATTCTCCCACCTTGGATTACAGGTGTGATCCACTGTACCAAGCCCAAAAATTATGTTTAGAAGATTATATGATGATAACTAGAGGAAATGCTTATATTCCCATGTTAAGAGTAAAAGAACACAAATTCATATGGATAAAATAGTAACTAGGTTTTAAAACTGTATAAAATAATGACCCTATCCCCGCCAAAAAAGTTTTCAAAAAACCAAGAAAAAAGTGAAACACTTGACTGACAACATGGAAGATGAGAGTATGACAACAGGTCCATTCTCTTATATCCATAATTTCAACATCTGAGAAGCTCTGAAAACTGAAGGTTTGTTCATAGTTCATGGGACAGCAAAAGTGGCCAGAGATGGCAAAAAGCTAATGACAGTCACATTTAGTGTGAGTATTCACATATTTCACTCCAAATATTAACATGCTTGATGACACATTTATGCCCCAGACCCCACAAGATGTTGAGTCAGTTACAATCAATTATCTTTCTAAAATGCACAAAATTCTAAATTCTAAAACATCTGTCACATGAAATTTCAGTTGAAAGACTGCAGAACTGTAAATTTTTCAAATATCATCAATCTTTATATCTTAATTATTACATATGCAATAAAACTTAAAAAATAAATCTGCCAAAAAAATGCATGTTAGAAGGAGCAAGATTACAAAAAAATACATGAATATAAACATAAATGCATGAACATAAAGACATAAACATGGAAATTTCTTACCTTCTTAAAATCAGTTCTTAAGGATCAAAGTTACCTAATATAATTTAACTTACATTACTCAATTATTTCAAACAGTTTTAAAATTATTCCATTATATAAAACAATCATCAGAAGTTAGTATATCATTACCACTTTTCCAGCTTTCCTGATGGTCTGATATTTAGAGGGATTAATAGTTTTCGTTGATTTCTTTGTTTTTGCTTTATCCAAAACTGCATAAACAGCAAAACATAATCGAGCCATTCTTGGTAAGTCACAAGTATTGATATCAAATTCCAGTGGTTCATTCCAAATATGATCATTTTTCCCTGATACCTCAGAGCTTACGACTGTTTTACACAGGAGCTCAGTACCATGAAAAAGACCAGCCCTGACATGAACCTGTAATGAAACAGACAAAAACAAATACAAAATCATAAATACTGTACCACTAAAAATATCCCTCTTTTATCAAATTTGTTTCTACACTAAAAACATCTCTATTTTGGAGAAGGAAGGAACACACTGGAAGAAGAAGCATGCCAAGTTTTAAAAGACTATTTACCTACAGAACCACTAGACTGTAATTAACCACTATATTGATCACTAAAGTGCAGTTAGTCTAATCTGTTTTTCGCTTGCTAAGTAAACAAGCTACAAAACCACGTATTTGTCCAAATGCCAGGGTGCTCAATGGTTTAAACAGGTCTAAAGAAACCAAGACAATAAGTATAAGCATACGATCATATGCTTACCTATTGACTTCATTTACTTGAGGTCTTGTCTTACTCTTCTCTATATGTAGAAAAGAATGAATGGATGTGATGGCTCCAAAGTTTATTTCTACATCTAAATAATTTATGGATTTGTCATACTCACACTAACTCAAGAGATAACAAAAGATTCTATCCGTATCTATGATTATCCTTTGTTTTTCCTTAAAGGCCGGGTCCACAGTGATGCAAGACATGTGTAAGATGTCCTAGACAATTTTACCCATTTGCAGTTCTTAAAAATGCATGACCTAATTATCACCAATTTAAAAGTCAGGGCAAAGTAAAGCTAAAAACAGTAGTACAACACAGAAATCGACCCAGTGATTTACTTTTAAGGTCAAAATATCTTATACCAGTTTATTCAGATGTGATATTAGCACACAAGATTACTCAACAAATATTTACTAAATAAATGAATACATACGTGAAATTGTTTTGTTTTATTTTTTGAGACGGAGTTTCGCTCTTGTTACCTGGGCTGGAGTGCAATGGTGATTTAGGCTCACCGCAACCTCCACCTCCTGGGTTGAGGCAATTCTCCTGCCTCAGCCTCCCGAGTAGCTGGGATTACAGGCGTGCGCCACCATGCCCAGCTAACTTTTTGTATTTTTAGTAGAGACGGGGTTTCACCATGTTGACCAGGATGGTCTCGATCTCTTGACCTCGTGATCCACTCACCTTGGCCTCCCAAAGTGCTGGCATTACAGGCGTGAGCCACCGCGCCCAGCATATGTGGAATTGTTTAGGCTTATCTTTCATTTTTCAAAAGCTTATCAATAAAAGCTTTTTTGGCTAATTAAGAGTTACCACCCCAATTTTTGAAAAGGAAGATAAACACCCAAGAATATCCATATGCTTTTCATCTACAGATATTAAAACAGTAATATAAAATTGCTGATTACAGCAGCAATTTAAACTATAAATATTTATAATAATGAGCTTAAAACCTATTAAAATAGGCTGGGCGCTGTGGCTCACTGCTTTAATCCCAGTACTTTGGGAGGCCGAGGCAGGCAGATCACACGGTCAGGAGATCGAGACCATCCTGGCTAATACAGTGAAACCCTGTCTCTACTAAAAATACAAAAAAAATAGCAGGCATGGTGGCAAGAGCCTGTAGTCTCAGCTACTCAGTAGGCTGAAGCAGGAGAATCGCTTGAACCTGGGAGGCAGATATATAACATGATAAATATTCAAGTAACAGGGGTTACAAAGGATACTAAAAGTAGTTGTAGTAAATCCTCAAGTCCCTAGGAATTTACATCTGAACATATCATCTAATTCCCTTCAACTCCAGATAAAGGAGTAATCCTTCTAGTCAAATCTCCTGGTCCCATATAGCTCCAACTTTCCAATTACTGAGATGTTGCTCCTTTGCTCCTCTGCAGTGGAAAAATCTTCCTCTCTAGTAGGCTATAAACCTGTCCAAGTCTCTCTCAAATCAAACTCAAACAAAAATCTACCTTAGAAGCTAATTAATGGTAATCATCCATATTCTTTCTAACACAGTGATAATAGTACCAAGAGCTACTCAGTCACCTCTGTCTCCTACTTTCAATTCATCATGAAGTCTACACTATATAAAAGAAAAAGCTGATTTATGATGTAACCTTACATAAAGAACAGTATAATGCAAAATACTATCAAAATACTAAACAATAGCAAAACACTATCAAAAGCATGGCCAAGTACAGCGGCTCACACCTGTAATCCTAGCACTTTGGGAGGCTGAGGTGGGTGGATCACTTGAGGTCAAGAGTTCAAGACCAGCCTGACCAACATGATGGAAGACCATCTCCACTAAAAATACAAAAATTGGCCAGATATGGTGAACAGCACCTGTAATCCCAGCTACTCAGGAGGCTGAGACAGAAGAATCACTTGAATCCAGGAGGCAGAGGTTGCAGTGATCCAGGATTGCACCACTACACTCAAGCTTGGGCGACAGAACAAGAGTCTGTCTCAAAAAAACAAAAAGCATGTTCACTTGGTAAACTGTGTGAAGAATACAAATAAAAGTAGTTTAGAGGCTGGGTGCAAGGGCTCATGCCTGTAATCCCAGCACTTTGGGAGGCCGAGGCAGGCAGATCACAAGGTCAACATGGTGAAACCCCATCTCTACTAAAAATACAAAAATTAGGTGTGGTGGCGTGTGCCTGTAGTGCCAGCTACTAGGGAGGCTGAGGCAGGAGAATGGCTTGAACCAGGAAGGCGGAGGTTGCAGTGAGCTGAGATTGCGTCATTGTACTCTAGCCTGGTGAAAGAGTAAGACTCCGTCTCAAAAAAAAAAAAACAGGAGTTTATAGTGGATGGCAGCAATATTGATGATTGTCGTCCCCTTTGATTAAAGGGGGACAAATATTAAAATCAATAATCTTTGATTTTAATTTTATTTTATAATGTTACCTTTAAATATTTTTAAATGTCCCAGAAAGTATCATAAAATGGCTGGATATCTAAATGTAAGACCCTATATATACAGACATAACAGGAAAATGTCCATAGTCAATCCAAAACTCATTAAATGAAAGCATGAATGAAAATAGCGTTTTGTTTTTTTTAACTTTCATTTTAGGTTTGGGGGTACATGTGAAGGTTTGTTACATAGGTAAGCTAGTGTCACAGAGGTTTGTTGTATAGATTATTCCATCATCTAGGTATTAAGCCTAGTACCCAATCGTTACCTCTTCTGTTTTTCTCCCTCCTCCCTACTTCACCCTGAAGTAGACTCCAGCGTCTGCTGCTTCCTTCGTGTTCATAAGCTCCCATCATTTAGCTTCCTTATAAGTGAGAACATGTGGCATTTTGTTTTCTGTTCCTGCATTAGTTTGCTAAGGATAACAGCCACCAGCTCCGGGTTCCCTAAAAGATATGACCTCATTCTTTTTTATGACTCCACAGTACTCCATGGTGAAAATGTAACACATTTTCTTTATCCAATCTGTCTGATGGACATTTAGATGAATTCCAAGTCTGCTACTGTGAATAGTGCTGCAATGAACATTCTCATGCATGTGTCTTTACGGTAGAATGATTTATATTCCTCTGGGTAGGTACCCAGTGATGGGATTGCTGGGTCAAATGGTAGTTCAGCTTTTAGTTCTTTCAGAAACTGCCATACTGCATTTAAAAATGGTTGAACTAGGCCAGGCGCGGTGGCTCACGCCTGTAATCCCAGCACTTTGGGAGGCCAAGGCGGGTGGATCACGAGGTCAAGAGATCGAGACCATCCTGGTCAACAAGGTGAAACCCCGTCTCTACTAAAAATACAAAAAATTAGCTGGGCATGATGGCGCGTGCCTGTAATCCCAGCTACTCAGGAGTCTAAGGCAGGAGAATTGCCTGAACCCAGGAAGCGGAGGTTGCGGTGAGCTGAGAACGCACCATTGCATTCCAGCCTGGGTAACAACAGCGAAACTCCGTCTCAAAAAAAAAAAAAGGTTGAACTAATTTGCATTCCCACCAACACTGTATAAGTGTTCCCTTTTTTCTACAACCTCACCAGCATCTCTTATTTTTTGACTTTTTAATAATAGCCATTCTGACTGGTGTGAGATGGTATCTCACTGTGGTTTTGATTTGCATTGCTCTAATGATCAGTGATAGTGAGTTTTTCATATGCTTGTTGGCTGCATATATGTCTTTTTTTTTTTTTAGATAAGAGTCTCGCTCTGTCGCCAGGCTGAAGTAGAGTGATGCAATCTCGGCTCACTGCAACCTCTGCCTCTCGGGTTCAAACAATTCTCCTGCCTTAATCTCCCAAGTAGCTGTGACTACAGGCACATGCCACCATGCCCAGATAATTTTTGTATTTTTGGTAGAGACAGAGTTTCACCAGGTTGGCCAGGATGGTGTTGCGCTCTTGATCTCATGATCTGCCTGCCTCAGCCTCCCAAAGTGCTGGGATTACAGGCATGAGCCGCCATACCCGGCCGTATGTCTTCTTTTGAAAAGTGTCTGTTCATGTCCTTTGCCCACTTTTAATGGTTTTTTTTCTTGTACATTTATTTAAGTTCCTTATAGATGAAGGCTATTAGACCTTTGTCACATGCATAGTTTGCAAATATTTTCTCTCATACTGTAGGCTGTTTACACTGTTGATAGTTTCTTTGGCTTTGCAGAAGCTTCTAAGTTTAATTAGATCCCACTTGTCAATTTTTGCTTTTGTTGTGATTGCTTTTGGTGTCTTTGTCATAAAATTTTTGCCCATTCCTAAGTGCAGGATGGTATTGCCTAGTTTGTCTTCCAAAGTTTTTGTAGTTTGAGGTTTTTACATTTAAAGTAAATGTAAATGTACATTTACATTAAGTGTTTAATCCACCTTGAGTTGACTCTTGTTTATGGTGTAAGCAAGGGGTCCAGCTTCAATCATCTACTGTTGGCTTGCCATTTATCCCAGCACCATTTATTGAATAGGGATTCTTTTCCCCACTGCTTGTTTTTGTCAACTTTGTGAGAAGTTGGTCATAGGTGTGCAGCCTTCTGGGCTCTTATTCTGTTCCATTGTTCTATGTGCCTATTTTTGTATTACGTATTGTTTTTTAAAGCAACCATTTGGGTTTTTCCCCCTTTTGAAGGAGGCAGTTTGAGGATTAAGTAGCCACACCCTTAAGGAATCTTTCTTTA